TTCTGCAACTATTTATCCCGGCACTTCGACATTTCTTGATTTAAATGTAAACTCGGTTAATTGTGGTGATTATTCAAAAAGAAGAAAAAAGGCAGTCAAAAAATACGCAAAAGCGAAATATGATGTCGAGCTAATACGTGAAAAATGCAAGTTGATATTAACAGAAATTGTTGATCAAAAAACAGTGGTAAAAAATCTGCGTGAAAGAATCGAGTTAATGTCGCCTGTAACTACGCCAAGTGATGGTGGTCCAGACTATACAGAAACTCAATCTCTCCTTCAAAATGAGAATAGTGTTCTTGCAAATCTTCAAAACCAGCAGATAGTATGCAATAGAGAATATTATGCTGAATGCAAGAAATTGCGTTTAGCCGAACGAAAACTTGCAAGAAAATTTTTTGGTGGTTTCAGCTTCAGTCTTGGACGGGTTAGTAGTGGGCAAATCATAACCCTTTTAACAAATCGGGACTTTCTGGATTGTTTTAGTCAATTTTACCCTGGCATACCGAGTTCATCAACAGACTCTGAGGGTGTCTCTACTAGTGGAACGCAGACTTCAACAGATTCCGAGGGTGCCTCTACTAGTGGAACGCAAGGTTCATCATCACGACCTCATGGTCCACCACCATCATATGAAGTTGTAATGAAGAAACCTAGATTCTATAGAGTGACTCAAGAGGGCCCAGGTGATCAACCTCCATCGTATCAAGATGTAGTGCGCAACCCTCAAAATTTCCCCAAGGTCTTGGAAGATCCTGATGTTACCGAATCGTCATCGATGAGTCCATCTATAGTTCATCCTACTCAAACATCATCCAGTGTTCCACCCAGTCAACACACAGCTTCATCCAGTCTTACATGGAAGGCCGATCGTTCTTAAGTCGGCATTAAAATGAAGATCGCGAGTTATTGATTCGAGTGCTAATCCGAACTGGTTCTAATCTAATCGACTGTCATTCTACAACCGCATTACTGATTCAACTTGTAATAAATAAAATGCAATACAATGAGTGTATCAATCCAGTATACGAGTCAACCATGACATATGATCATGATGTATGGTTGATACAACTATATAGTGACAATCGATGTTGATATAATAGCACACAACATGCAATGTCAACACAACAGTTGCAAGTCATTGATCATGATGTGACATTGTGATTGCAACATGAACTGTATTGTATTGATTCAGTTGATTGATTGAATTACTGGACAATGTGCAGCGATGATTGATCGTGTCAAGTTGAATGTAAAGTATCACCAAACCACATGTTTGAATCATGTCAATCAATTGTGATTGTAAACCATACAATATCACAACACATTGATGAACAACTAATAACTGAATGTCAGCTCAGTTACATACAGGTTTACATGGCATGCATTGATTTCTTAGGCTGTGGTTCACTGACCCTTTTCAGAGTGAATAAGGGTAGGAAACTATATAATCAATTATCAGTCGTATGATGTTCAAATGTATAATCAAGTAGCGGTTCAGTAAAAACTGTTGATCGCCATATAAAGGGATATCCCTTTTGAATCGCTTTGACATTGATAGTAAATCAACATCGACCCTGACAATAAACCTGATTCTTTGGAACGGCCATCCAAAAAGTATGCTTTTAATACTATTCACTCATCTGATATAAATACAATTTAGACCCGACCTGTTGAATGACAATCATCTGCAACTCGATCAAACCAGTAAAATGAAACTACCAATCGCTGCATTGTCATCAATTCTGCTTGTTTGTTCAGTCACTATCGCCAATCCAGTTGTTCCCAGTACGACTGCAAGTACAGAACATGTCTCATCGACAGTTGTTCCCAGTTCAACTACAAGTACCGAGTCTAACCCATCTGCAACTCCTAATACAAACGGTTTAGACTTGAGCCGTCTTGATTCACTTTCAGTTGACATTGAAGATTTGCTTGACAATTATTCAGAAAGAAAGCATGACCATGATAGGCATAGAAAAGAATGCGAATTGATAAGGCTTCGACTTGAGGATCAAGAGGACCTGGTAAGCCATTTGGAGGAAGAGTTTGACGATTTGAAACGTAAATTCTACAAAAATGGTCGCGACAATTCAAAATATAAGAATGAGA